CTTTTATTCTACGAACAATAGTAAAATTTCAATTAATAGTAAAATTATATCCTCAAATAAACTCTGTGCTTAACCTCCGTAAAAAATGACTTGTGGACGAGATATTTTAATCATCTTTGCTATAAAATTGATCAGTCTTTATAAGTCTTATTTCTAATATCAAATGGGGCGGCTGGTCTATTTATGAAACACTAGTGTCCAGTATAAAAAACTCTTGCTTAAAATACAACATAAACGAGAATTTAATTAAATTAAAAATCATTTTATAATTAAATTACAGGCTTGAGATAAGGTTGATATATACTTAACCATACGCTTGCTTCGATTATTATCAGATACGAATCCCTAGTCATTCTTCAAGAAGTTTCCAATTATGTCCAACATTTTTTCTCACCTAAATGGTTGGTTCATTAAAGTACATAATATACAGATACAATTATATAAGTTTTTTCTGTTAGAAAAGAGATTTATGTCACTTTCAGGAAAATAATTCAATAATATCCAACAGACAAAAAATACATCAACATAAAGCTCTATACAAAAAGCAAAGCTCTATACTACTTAACTTCAGTTAAAAATCTAATAGAACATCCAAATATATAATATAAAAAAAATTTTGTTGTCGTGGCTATCTACTTTCCGAAACCTCTTTATAAAAATCTAAAGAAATAATAGAAATTAGTAAAATAAACCACAGACTACAAAGCTCTTTGTTTATATGTATTTTTCTCGCAATACTTAATAAGTTTAATAAAAGTGAAAGTAAAATAGTTTTATGACTATAAGTGTAGATAAGGACGACCTCCAACTAGATCAGCTGGTTGTTTAAGCCATCAATGCTGACATTTCTTTCAACAACTTCAGAGTCCCATGTGTTAATAAATTTATTTTCCATCATAGTTTATTTCTAATGTTGCTCCCTCTTTATAATGTGTTTCTTCCAAAAAAAAAATAAAAGAACTTACTCGAGATCCTTAGACATGCTAAGAGTTTATTAAATATCAACAATCCTTAAATATCGTTCTTATTATAGATTAGGTAAATAGAACTAGTTCACATACTATATATATGGTATTCAATCAATAGATATTTGGATTGCAAACCTAATTTTTAATTTGAAAACAACTCGATTTTAGTAAAAACAATTCTGCATACTTTTAGACTACAATTTTATTAATATCATATAAACATTATAGCAATTGAATTTTTGTTAAAAAGTATGCAAAATTTCTTAAACGGGTTTTCTTATTAAAAACGAGGTGTTGGTTTGGTTTAGTTTCCTTATTGAAACTTGGTTTTTCAACTTTTTTCTTTCCACTGACCAAGTTTAACCCACACTTGGAACAAAAGAGACAATGAACCGTCCATTTGCATTGCCAATTCACTTACGACTCTTTGAGTTAAACCATACATACCTAGAATAAAAACAGACCCAGGTTAAAGCCTGCAGTTAAGGGATTTCTGCACTGAATAGGTTAGTACAGAACTTATCTTGTTTTACTCTGTTTCGACTTTAATACACTTTGTTTGCTCTGGCAGTGTTTATCATTCTTGAGATAATAATCTGTTAAGTTTGCACTTTCCAATACTTACTGCCCATGCTTTACCATCTAACTGCTGATTTTTCAAACAAGTGTTTCTAAGTTTCATCTATTATCTATAAATACTTTATAGTCAATGATTGTGTGGTATGATTCTTAATCTTAATTAAACATGTAATTTATAAATCTTAATTATGTGGTATCTCAATTATATCTAAATAAAAAATGAAAGTTAGATTTATTATATCAGTATTGGGATTACCTGTATCATGTTCAGTTAGGAATAGCATTAATTGCGATATCAAGCATTCAACTAATATTTGACTGGCTTTGTGTGTTATGAACCTTCTCAGATATTACACACATTCTTACACATTCTATAGTAACTTCCTTTATTTCATACATTATACGAGTATACGACTGATATATTCGAGATCTTTTTTGAATTAATTTGGATTTCTGCATGATGGGTGATCATACACTGTAGACCAAGACCAACTGATATACCTTGGTGTGCACTCTTTACTGAGAAAAATATTCTCTAACCACACATTTTATCTCATATCAAGAATATGGTATTTTCACCTGAGATTTAATTAAAATCTGATTAAATCTACCAAATTATTTTTCTGAGTGTATGTATGTCAGTTAGCAGAGCAATGTCCGCAACAATATCTAGATCCAAATACTTTAAATACTTCAGTTTATGTTAGTCAATGTTTAAAGCTTACAAATTTAAGTTTCTGTATCTCGGGAAGTAAACTATATCGGCATAAAGAGTACAAAACACAGTTGTTCAAAATAATTGTCATTACTGAATTATATTATCAAATGGGCTTAACCAGGAAATCGAAGTCGCACCGAGGAAGTTTATTTCTGGATATTAATATCTCATCTTTAAAGATAACACAATCAATCATAAAAGTCGCGGTAGGTCACTCTTTCGTCCATTTAAAATAAATCCCACCACGAGCTTTTCCAAAATTATGTATATATTATCTTGTTTAAATTATTTGATAAAGATTTATTTATAATAAACGATTGCTTTAACGTGTTTAATTGTCTATAATTTCTGATATCTTAGTTCCATGCACATCTTTGGCGATTTAAATTAAAATTACTGATCTTTCTCATAAATGTTATAAACTTTCTGCTATAAATTCATAGTTTTTTTTGGAAATTTTTATTGTAAACATTTTTAATTTGATTTTATTGTGACTATTTTAGTTTTAACAACATTTTCTCTATTTTTAATATTTATTTAAAAATTCAAACGTAAAAATTCTTTGCATAATATTTTAGTCAACATTTTTTCATCATAAATTACTGAAATTTATTTTGTTTACCATTCCCGAAGAGGGGAATGACACTATCGTTTAGTTTTTATATATTTACGAATTAATAAAAATATAAAAATTCATTTATATATTGATTCATTAATCGATTATTTATTCATTGTTTTTAATCAACAAAATTATGCATAAAAATTTGTATGTCAACAACTTTTTATTTGTTTTCAATTTAAAACTTATTAATTTTAACTTTCAATAGCTGAAAAAAATAAAATGAAAACGCATATTAGAATTTAGATTAATAAAAACATAAAAAAAATTATTATTAAAGAATAATTATTTAAATCCAAAATGAATATACATAAACAAATCTACTGACAAACTCAATAAAGCATTAATTCTTGACTCAGGGGAAGTTCAAAACCTAATTTAATAAAATTTAATATATATATTCTTCTTCTTCCTTGTAATAGTAAGAATTTTACCTATATGCTTAACATTAATTTCCCACTCTTATATATCTCTTGCTCTTATTTCCAGCTAATTTCTTGGAGGTCCTCAGTTTCGCCGTCAATCCAATTTTTGCTTATCCCACCTATATGGGTTTGCACTTTCTTCCTTTATGAGATAGATTATTCCCTTTACACTATTGTAATTCAGTAAATTTTTAATGCTATTTCTAACACATTGGAGGTAATCCTTGATTTACATATAGTATGGAAATGGAAATGGATCGATTTTGATATGTTCATTTGTCTATTTGTTTGATTGTCAAGCAATATTTCAGTTTGGCTGTCTGTCGACTATATCCTAGAAATGCATTTCATTTTTAAGAGTACGTATCAGTGATACTACCTTCAAGATCACACATTTTTCGTAATTTTATATAGAGTATGACCATAATTATTAACACAAGTATATGGATGTTTTTTAAAGCGCATCTCTGTGCTTAAATCTAGATAAGCTTTCTCAATTGGAGAGGCCAGCAAACACTACTGAAATTTTTACTTTTATTTTATTATTTTCAAAACAATGACTCATCACACCTTATTTTTCGATTTAACTTTTTGGTGAATTATATTAATTTTCGTTAATTTTAGTTAATTTTCGTAAATTTAAAAATACATTATAACTTCATTCCTCTTCTTGTCACTTTAGTTTGAAGATCCGCTTTCCTTTCGATAAAATTTTAATTTTACACTCTTTGCTCCGCTTAGCCGCTATATATTTTTTATTAAGTTCAATAATGAACTATAAAAATATTATTTTTTTTCATTCACAACTTCCTTCTTTTAAGATCATCAGCTTGATTGCTTTTTAAACTATTGATTACTGAAGTCATCCTGAGAGAACAGGGTTTCGAAATTGTCGATCTTCCATTTTTTTCATTACTCCAAGCAATATTCTTTCCGTAATATTATATAAAAAAGTATCTGACTTCGAAAATGCGTTGTTTTGAAAGGACGATAGATAAATATAAATCTATTTGATGCTTTTGTCGTTGTAATGTGGATAGTTAAACCGTATTTAATGTTAAGCTGTCCGAAAATTTCCTTGCGAATGATTTCTTTTCTCGTTCATGAGTCACTCCGTGCTTAGTCATCGACATCGAGTTATATCAAGTCCAGACTGAATCTTTTTTGGAACCATTTTCGCTTTTTAATGGACCTAACACTTGCTTAGAATTTATATTGTTTCCAAAAAAAGAGAAAAAATAATATTCTCAATAAAAATTTGTTAAAAAGTGATCAAAACATTATTTCCTCTATCCCTTCCTTGGGTCCTTGGTTGCTGTTAAAATTCTTTGTGTAAGAATTTGAAATGCAAGTTGTCGCTGGATATAGCATCTATTCGTTTAGTCAATATAAAAATATACAGCTATGCAGAGTGCTTAAGGTACCTTCAGACTCAAGGTATATCGGTATATAACTAAATGAAAAAACTTCGTCAGAACAGTGAAGCTAGTCAGGTATGACTGGTCACTGTACTGAGGAACGATGTATAAAGAAAATAAAAAATAAAATAAAATAAAAATTTGTAAAATAAAAGAAGAAATAGTGAATTTTAATAAAATCCACTGTAAGATCGCGTTACCCCAGATATCTTAATCATGTGAAACTAAAGCTAGAAAAGAAGATCATTAGTTAAACATTCTCTTCCACTACATCTAAAAATAAATCCTTTTTTCGTGTATATATGTATGTTTAATATAAAATTTTTATTTCTTGCTTAAATCACTACCAATCGCATAAATTTCATTCCTTAAACTACGCAGCAATTTAAAATCTTTATTCAATCTGTCTATCAAAATATTTTTAGTTGGATTACCTTCAACGAGAGCTGGTATAATTTTTTCACCGACCGCTTGTAAAATTTCCACTACTTTTATGATTGTAGCTGGATCAGGTATACCCGGTATTGAGACACGTGCCACGTTTTCATTGCTATCTATATTTGCCGAAACATCTGAGTCCATAATCGAGCGTTTCTTTCGAGATTCATTCGAGTCCTCTACAGTTTCCTCAGACGAAGAGTCATCATCTTCTTCATCAGAATTACCTGTTGGTGTTGCTATATCCTGGAGTAGGAAATTTAAATCATGCTCTTCGTTTCAGACATATACGTTATGGGTTTTATGCAATATACCTCGGCTAAATTGTAGTGCGCTAACAATAATAATAATACACTCAAAAAAATAATGTTATACTTTAAATGGAAACTCATTTCTTTTTTTTTTTATTTGGAAACTTTCGAAAATTTTTATATTGTAAACTTTTTAGCAACGATTTCAATTTGTACTGAAGTCTATGTGGTGTTTCCGACAACTTTTTATATAGACGCGAGATTTCCTTTAAATTTTTTTTAAATTACGCAAATTCCATATGCGGTTGCATGCAGAATTTACTCAAATTGATCAATTTTTTCATTTTAAAAATAAATAAAATTAGTTATAATTTTTTGAATGCTCGAAATTGCACACGTCAATAGAATTTACTGCAGTTAATAAATTAATTCTGTAAATTTTTTTCAAATAATAAAATTGTGTAACACACAATAAAATGTTTGGTATATTTTAAACAATTCAATATAAACTCAAATTACGATTTTTATTATAATATAAATATTTCAATCAAATAAAATTATATATAAAATTTCAAAAACCAAAACATTATTATTTTTATAAGGCAGTTCTTAATTTTTAATTAATTTTTAACTGTCTCTCCAAAGTCTAGAACGTGTTCTATTTTTATGGGTTATGAAATAAGAAACTTTACATTAGGATGCTAGATTAAAAGAATAGTTCCTATGGTATACTGATGGGTCTAAAATGGAAGATGGCAGTGCAGGAGTTGACATTATAGGACCGAAATTCCGCAAACCAATCGCAATGCGAAAACTGTTTCTATTCTTCAGCAGAAGTTCACAATTTACAGCTATGTGCGTGAGAGTGCCTCACCCGAGATACCAAAATATGCATTATTTCGGACAGCCAAGCACCTCTTAAATCTTGAAAGCTGGTCTGGGAATGCTTTCAACTTCTTTATATTCTAGCATCGAAAAACTATGTTACTCTTATGTGGATATCGGGACAAACAGCTCTGGCAATATGAGCAATATTGTCCTCACACAATATAGTACACTTATCAGTATGCAATGCCCCTAACATTAATACAATATTTGGAACCACCTGGAACCCGCTTGAGCTAGGTTAAGACAAAATAGATTAGATGCACTTTCATTGTCTTCCCCACAGTTGCGACAGGTATGGTTGCAAGGGAGATTCAATTTTCTAGCATTGTTCCCTAGTTTGCAGTAACTTGTAAGCAAACCTACCGTAAGACTGATATCTCTACAGGCCATCTCAATATTGGATTTCCTGATATCTCTATTGGAATATTGGATTTCCTTTTAGTGGCAAGTGGCCAGATTGCACACAGATGCCTGCATATCGTTGTTTTCCCATTATTTTATTAAAAATTTCAGCACAGAAAGAACTCAGTAACAATTTGCATGATGTTAACCATATGCCCAGATTTACTGTTATGCACAGCAAATTTCAAAGTCAAAGTCTATAATAATATTATAAACTTTGGTTATATTATTTGTATAATAATACGGTCTTTGTTACGAAACTAAACCGTCTTCGAAAATATTTTAAATTATTACGATCTTTGCTTTGATACAATTTTTGCGTACAGTATTAAGATAATTCACCTCAAAGAAATTCAACTACATTTTATAACTGGAAAATTTTTTGGTAGTTATCATGACTAAGGACAGTATGAATAAAATTTTAAAATTTAGCAAAAATTAGAATCATGGTGTTAAGTGTTATACTTTGGTATTCACATAGTTAAAGACCGTATCAAAACAAATCAAAGACAGTTTAATTCTAAAATCACTGAAGATCGTAAAATTACGATCTTTACTTTATATTCAACTAAATTTGAACGTCTTTTGATTTCTTTTTTGGAATAAAATTAGTAGCAATTAATAGTTCAACTTAAATGGGCTTTAAGAATAAGTTTATTTTATTTAATATATAGTTTATTAATAATAAAGTTTCTGCATTCACAAATTAATATGGAAAAACTTTGTTTAGAAATTAAGAATTAAATGCTAGCTTAAAAAAATAATAACTTCAATTGAATTCAATTCTAATTTGACAGGCACGAGTTCTAAGCTTGGAACTTGCAGTTTAAACTAACTATATACGAACAATAAACTAATTTAAAATAACTGGAATATTTCTTGAGATCACTGATGATGAGTATTTGGCAATACTGAAAACAGCGTTGTATGGTCAGCAAAATTTCAAAAACTAACTAAATTTTTATTACAGTCTTTTCATTTCTATTCGAATCCTTTTAACTTTTAAATAGTTGCTTTATCTCGACAAGGAAAAATATTCAATTCATTTTTAAATTAAATTAAATTAAAAAGTTCTCCTTTAACTTTTATTTCACTTTGCTATTTTTTATTTGCCCAATTTTTAAAGTAAATCAGTTTGAAGGAATTTTTACAGAGGACGTGATACATTATTATAATACATTCAAAAAAATATATTATCTGTGCATACATTAGTTTTTTTAATCGACTATCAAATTATTGTCGTTTTTATTTATAAAAAAACGTTGACTTAAAGTGTATAATCGTTCACAGTCAAATTTTATAAAAATAAGCAGATTAAATGGGAATAAAGCCACAGAACGGTTTTGTTTGTAATATAAATTAAAAGAAAATTTTTCTACGTTAATATTTTAGTATAAAATTAATTAGTATGAATAAGGATTTGCTTGATAAAACGCGAATTAGTATATAAAGTGTTTTTACTCAATAGTCTGTCTGACCATTTAAAGGATCCGCTGTAATCAGAGCTCCATTAAAATCTGATATTGAATTACTTAGATAGGTTGACAGAACTATAGAAGCAAGCTTATCTTCCTGACAGAATACCTATAGATTGCATTTGATTTAAAACAAAGCATTTCGGAATTAGTGAGAGTATTCAGAGAATAAAAGAATTCAGCGTTCTGTCTTTAATTTCGTATAAATCTGTGTATCTATACCTATATATATGTACATATATGCGCTTAGATTTTTATCTTAAAACACCAAAGTACATATTTTTTAATTCTATTATTAGAATTATAAGTTATATAATTATCTAATATAAACTATTAATTAAATTGTTAATATATTATACTAACATATTAACTATATATACAACGTATATATATATTAAACTGTATCTACAATTATGTTTCGATAAACATATTCTTTAGAAAAAAAAAAGAAACAAATTTATTATAAAAAAATTTTGCTATTTGCACTCATAACTTCAATATGTAAAGATAAAGATATTCTTACATTAAACTTTTGAATAAAACTTTTGAAATAATTCTTAAAATAAAAAGAAAAAAATAATATACAATCAACTTTTAATTTGAGTTTTGCTAAAAGTATGTATGGGAACAAACTAAATATTTATAAAATAATTATACGGCACTTCCACAGAAGATTCACGGTGAAATGAATTGTGTTTATGTACTTAACGGCGACATAGCCTTGGCGCAGGTAAATGCGGCATGAACATATGAGTTGAAATCAGCTGTTGACATTACACAAACATTTCTCACAAGAAGAAGCAAAGTAATTGCAATTTAATTAATAATTGTGACAAAAAATGTCTTTTTTAAGAGCATTTACACGGTAAATAAAACTATTTTGTATATTTTCTGATAATATTTAATAAATTGAAATACTTGTCAGTTTGTCATTGGATACTCCGCGACGTTTGCTTCATACAACACCTGTGCTGTGTGCGGAGCCGCTTAAAAAGAAGAAAAAGGTAGACCCCGCCGTTGTGAAAGCGCGTGAGGAACGTCGAAGAAAACGTTTGGAAAAGCAAATAAGACGCCTCGAAAAAAATGCCCGACAATTAAAACCCGTAGATGAATTAGAAGTACCAATGGACCTTATAGAGGAAAAGCCGTAAGTTGCTAATCAAATACGTTTCTGTAAAAAATATATATTTTTATTTAAATAATATCACTTGTTTTTTCTATAAATTTTTTAAACAGTAAACGCCTACGCAAATTACCCGCTATAAGTGCTGAGGTATTGGAACAGCGCGTATTGCTAACAAAACAATGGTCGCAATACAAACACAAGGAAAAGGTTAACGACTACCAAATAATTGATCGACTTCTACAATCACAAAATAAGGCCCTGGAAGAACTGAGGCTGGAATCAGAAGACTTATATCAGGAGGCAATACAAATGGACTTACAACTTATGCCAATAACAGTGAAAGGACCAGTTGCAACACCGCCAATTGAAGGTTATGCCAGTCCGGATGGTGATTATTTGCACGATACCAAAAAATGGAGTTAAGTGACGCTAGTACTTGTTTTAATAATTTCAAATTGCAAATCAAAGATAAAAAAATTATTGTTGTATAACGAAATAAAGCTTATGTTTAAAACATATATTCAAAATAGTTTAAATTGCCACGAATTATCTCAAGTGTGGTAGCTGCTATAATAACATACCAGTAAAATTCAATATTGTTGCTGTTGTTAAAAGCCGTGGGGATCTGAAAGCAGATAACATATAAGGTTAACAAGACGAATAGATGGGTTGGGACTTTTGCGGTAAGGGTGAAGGAAATGAAGGAATAAAGGATGTGTGGGAATACAATTGACATCAACCCGGGTTCAAATGAAGAAACCTAGCCATTTCAAAAAAGTGTATCCAAAGGTCAATTGGACTAAGGTTTGTGTGCGTAGAGGGACATGAGAACAGTTTGTTCAATATTATTCCAAACTACTCATTTATTAATAAAATATTCTCTCTAATAGCTTGGATTTAGGAAATTTTACAATATGCTTTGGTTAAAAGTCAATAAAACTAAGCAATACAATAACTAACAAGCTGTAATGAATATTTTCCTCGATAATTCCTTTAGTACAAAAACAGATTAACTTACTTTATTCTTCTATCAAAATATTGGATTTAATCAAATCTTCTTATTTTCCCAAACAACCGGAATAGTTATTATAAATATTACTAATTATTGTATTATAACTATTGCAGTAATTATAACATACATATTGTAAATATTGAGTTAATATACTAACCGATTTCTATCGAATTTGTTCTAATATTTTATTACCCTTGGCTGAATCTAAGTTCAGTGCGAATTTTTCAATTCTAACCACTGTTTCTTACTCTTCAACCTACATAACTCCCTGGAACTGTGCCCTCTAATTCTCTCAACCTATTTAATAATAATATTTTTTCTCCTTATTTGGGTGGACTTGTTAATGTGTCATAGGAAGTGAGAGTTGATTTCGATGCTGATGTGGTTTAATATGAATCTAATTCGCTTAGTGTACTTAGTTCCGCATATGTTGTCAAGCCTGTAGTGTTCAAACGAAGCTTCAGCTAGTTTAATGTTGAATTAATCATTTGTCTTTCCTTTTATTTTCTACTTATTAGACTTACCTTAAGTATACAAAAGTAGCATCAGTGATTTTAGATAAAAACTAACAGCTGCATGATAAAATTTTTAATATTTTCATCAACATCGCCGACTTAATGGCTACTTATCAGTTTTGAGACGACTTTGCAATTAGCTCTTAGTTACCACATACATGGGTGCCATAAGACATGAACACGGGGATGCTAGACTCCTCTTCCCTCAGTCTTAATGGGTATTCCCTACACTTTCAGTAAAATATGAAGTTGTTTTCCTTCTATTATGAATTCTCATATGGTATAATAGTACGCTCCCTTAATTTTACTTCTGGCCATACAATATGAAAACCATTAAAAACCAAGATCCCATATTACTATAATAATAGCTTCTATCATCCCACATTTATAGAAAATCAACTCGCAAAAGTAGGAATATGGTCCAGTTCATGTGTCAATTGTAAATATAGGGTTAACAATTGTTTTTTCTTGTGTTATATCATACTGCAGTGCTAATACATCCTTGTATCATATCATACTGCAGTTCTAATACATCCTTGTTAATCACCTTTTTTCTCACCGATCTGACTGAGCTGTCATCCTGTAATATTAGGGACCTAGCCAAGTTTATAAAACTGTCAAGTTGGTTTTCCTTTACCTAATAGGGAAGTGGTGAAGAACGTACCAATGCTATTTCTGTACCAATGCTATTCCTGTGGTACCACAATGGGCCATCGTTTAAGCTCAAGTTCGCTTTGGAAACAAGGCCGTCACTCCAACCTACCTATCTACCTACTATATACGCTTGACTTTCTGAGGATTAGTTTTAGGTCAACATTGAACAGAAGGTAAGAAAATCATTAGCGTCGTCTTTTAACGGTTATAAATTCTGAGGAAATATATTTTAAACTTTAACCATATCCTGTTATTTTTCCGACAATTTTTTCAGCATCCAAAAACTGAAAATAGATACATCATTTATGTAACAGAAAATAAAAATGTTTTTTATTAATTTTCGAGCAATTTTTGTATATTTTTTTGTTTTTTATTTTTTATTTATTTATTTTTAATTTAAACAAATATATTCAGTTACTTTAAAAGATATATACGAATCTTTAGCATTAAAATTGAGGTCAACTTAGAAGTTTACTTATTAGTTTTTAGCACATTGAAGTAGCAAATTGCAAACAATTTAACTTAATACTTATAAATTTTTTAATAATATTTTAAAAATTGTATATAAGCACTTATTTCAGATATAATTGCCGCGTTCTTTTATTATTTTTTTTAGAATTTTTTTTCCATTTACTTATATAGCAATAATAATAGTTTCAGAGCATATTTCGCGCGTAACAATTTTAATATTTAGATAATACATTTATAATTAATAATTTTATATAATAGCAACATTAATTTAATTTTTTTTTTTTTCATTTTAATTTGTTGCTTTTTTTGATTTGCAAATATTTATATTTATATTTTAATATTAATATACTATATGATTATATAAAAACAAATTCAGTCCAAAAACATTTCAAAACGATTTTCCACAGATCACTGTTTATAGGTAGTTATTAATATAATCCAACAGATTTGGCTGAAAATGTCGAAACCAACGTTTGTCTAAATCATTCCTACGGGTACATAAAATGTCTGAAGTACTGCAATTCTTTTTTCCTTTTATTAGTTCTCCTGTATTAATATCAGTTTCATTATAATAATAACAACCTGTGCACCTATTACAAGAGGAGCAGGGAACTTGTGGAGAACACATGTCATAAGGATAGTTTTGGTTACAGGTTTCATCTGGACCTCTATAACAGTAACTTTTATTAAAAAACGTGTAAGTATTAAATTCACATTTGCCCGGTGTTCGGATCCTGTATCGCTTTGAATATGAACTGAAAAGATATATATAACTTAGAAATGCATATTTAAACTGTAACATATATTATACTTACTATACACTGGCATGAGTCAAATCAAGTAATACGGTCAGAAGGATCAATTGCAACACCAGTCGGAAAAGAATGAGTTCAGATTTTGAACTCTTCTTTTTAATGATTAAATTCATTTTTATATATTTATTGCAATAATTTGTAATTAATTAGTTCTTCCCGAACTTAGTTGTAGCCCCAATATCCGGCTACTGTATACTACTCATATTTCTTCACGGACATCTTTCTTTTATATTAATATATTTTGGTGTAAATTAATTAAATGTTAATTTATGGCATTTTTTTAAGATAATTAATTTTTTTAGATTTAATGTGGTCAAGTTTAAAATACATGTCACCCTTATCCCCACGCACTTCTTCACCGGAGACAACGTAATTGTTTATTGGAGTGTTAAGAAATTTCTTGCTCCTTCGATGTATTGCTATTTTTATTAAGCCAATATATGGAATGGAATTTTTTTAATTCACTATTCGCTGGAATTCCTTGAATGAAGTTGAATGTAAAGGATAATTATGAATTATTAATTTATGAAGCACTAGAGGTCAAGTGTATTGATAAAATTCAATTCTTAATAATTTACTTTAATTTCATTTATTATAGTGAAACGCGCTTCTAGTTAAATCACATAAAAAAAGTAGTTCAAGCTTAAATAGTTTTAGATACTCGTACACTGACAGTCATCTGTATCTTTAAATTTATTAGGTTTCTTCTTTCTATTCTCTGTTAAAAAGTCTATTGGAAAAAAATAGGATATATGTAATCCTATCTATGGAATAAAATGATCCATGCATTTCTGTTCGTTATACAATGACTGCAATCAATCACATGTAAGATATTGATTAGCAATCCTTTAGAGGTGAGTTAATTATTCTTAGTTCCAGTTCCTTGTTAGGCATTTTACAAAAATTCAATAAAGTTTTTAAAGACTATTTGGTGTCAGAATTTACTTTTATTGCACTTATGACTAGTGATGTGATTAAAAAATTGGAAAATTAGAATAGAACATTGAGAATTAGAATCGAACATAATTTTTATTGGTAAAAACTATTGTAACAATTTACAAGCTCCTAATGAATATTAAAAACTCATATTAAGAGACAGCATTACCACATTGCAGACGTGCTCACATGTGTTCCTGAGGGACGATAACTACCTCCCTTAAAATCACCTTATGACGGACCGTTCAAAGTGATGCAGCGTGGTCGTAAGCTTATTACCAGTTTAATCAAAGACCGACCTGTCCAAGTGAGTATCGATAGAGTAAAGGCAGCTTACTTGTTGAGTGAAGAAACCGAACCAAACATGCAGTTCTCACGATCTACTTCATTTCAATCAAGTCCAGTTGCACAACCGGCACAAAGACCTCAGCAGGAGCTCAACTCTAGTCACAGCACATTCAGCGGCAGAGTTATTCAATTACCTGTGAGATTTATAAAAATGTATATGCGTGAAAATCTGACTGAATTTCTTAGTTTTCAAAGTATGCTTCTCTTTTTGTATAATGCCATATGAAAATAAAGAAAAGAAACTGAGAGTAACTTGCAAAATTTTGCATAAAATTTTCTGGGGAAACATAATAATATACAAAGTGTTTTGTAAAGTTCCGGTTACATTGCATGCGAGTTTTATCTTGCGTATTCGTACGAACTAATCAAATGTATGTAATCATATGTGAGTGGAAATTAAAGGTATAAATAGTGAAATTAGGATATGTCTTTTGTTTTCATTTAATTTTAATTTTATTTTAATGGTAATTTAACGTTTCTATTTTACTTAATAGAAACTATTGTATTTGGTAGTGACCTACAACAATAATAATTCTGTTTCGAGTATTGTCAAGTGCTCATCATCAGTGGTCTTAAAATTACTTCTTATATTTAATTATTTATTAAATAATTATAATTTTAATTTTAAAAATGGAAATATATTTGAAAACATGTGTTGCTTTTAGAAAATGGATTGCGATTTGCTAATTTCTTTGGTTCAGGAACAGGTAAATTCTCATTTTTTATATCTTGTTGAATAAAAATTATGTACCAAATTCATAATTTGTTATATGAAATTAATAAATAATTTAATAACAGTTGTTATCAAATTCAATGTTGTTTTCAAAACAAACAATTCAGAATTGTCAATTAGCAACCTATGTAAAATTAGCATGAAATGTTATCGTAGCCTAATAAGGAGAAAATATCCCGCAGTACAAAAATAAAAAGCCTAAAGTTCGTATTACATATCAGATTTGGTCTTACAACTTGTCCGATGTCGTTTGCTATTACACATTACACACAATCAACATTATTTTGAACACGCCCCAGTAAAAAAAAACAACAACTATACTACACAAAAAAATTATTTATGCATTTAAAGGATGTTTTCGCTTCCGTGCCTTAAAACAGAATGACATTTTGCATTAACCCAACAAAAATCCGATTATATACGATTTTGACGAAAAATCAAAATATTTTGTTTTCCATTCAACTTGTCGTCAGACCTGCAAATGTGCTTAATGGTACACAATATCGTTTAAAAATTTTCACTATCTGGTTTTGCTATTATGCCCACGCCGTCCTTACTCATTATAGTGTTTGCTAAAATAAGAGCACTTTCTGAGTTACAAAAATTATGTGGTAGTAAATATTTTTGTTATCATACACAATGATTTTAATATTTGACAATTTTGGTATTGTAAATAAAAAATAATCTTTAATATTTGACAATTTTGATATTGTAAATAAAAAATAATCTATTGTAAATAGATCAAAAATTTTATTTTCGATATTATACAAAGAGGGACATTTCTTTAAAATTTCCTCTCAATTATATACTACATTAAAATATCCTGTATAAAGAATTAAATTTAAAAAATAATAACTCTTGGCAACTCTATTTCCACATTTGTGTAATGGCAGCTCTTATTAGTTTTCAATTCGCTTCATTTTTTCGCAGCCGGTAAAACCAATGAAAAGTAGTTAACGTAGTGGTTATTTAGTGTAAATTAATTAAAATTGTTGTGCATAAATTTAATTAAAATATTACACTTCTTAAATTTGAATGTACAGAAAAGCATATAATAAAATGCCATAGCATTAGATTTAGTTGTAAAACACACAACTTATTTACTCTATAAACATAAAAGGTAAAGATATTTTTATTGTGAAGCAGGCAAAATACTGTATATTTGCTGTTAACTAATGTTAAAGAAAAACTATTTCAAAAAAAATTAATAAATAAAGAAAATAGTGTATAAAATGTGATTACAACATAGTTTTTGCTTTTGAGGTAAGTGCAATATTGCAATGTCAATTATCCCGTTGTGTTACTAGTCAGAGCACAACTACAAAGCCTTGTATTTGGCAATGGGCGTGCAAAGAACAACAACAAACATATGCAACTAAAGGACGTCAATGCCGACGTTTAGATGATTAAACTTTGAGCGACAATACGGAACGTTTCGCAGTTGTGTTCTGCGGTGGCCAATTCATATGTCTCCATTGAGGTTTATATTGCATTCAGGCCATGCATTCTTTTTAGTTAGGATTTGTTTGTTGCTTGCCGCTTTGTTTGAAACTCGTTCTCATATATTTTATTTCGATGATTTAAGTTACTTTCACATTTATAAAATATCGTGTTTAAATAAATATTTCTTCTTTTTCAGAAATCGCCAAAAACTACAAGTCAAAAGCCGCCTAATCCAAACACTTTGAATCATCTGTGTTAGCCTTAAATTTTGGAACGATCCGTTACTTTGGCCGTTATACCGCTACAACCAAGTACTGACTTTATAATTTAAATCTATCTAGTTCACTGTAGAATATTTTATATATGTCATAAATATTTTATTTCTTAGGTCTTGTCTTTATTATGTATTACTTCCATTTATATGTTTGAATTATTGTTCATGTACTGGTACTTATTTTTTGAAAAAAGTTTTAAAGAGTATTGCAAATCTTCCGTAATTATACCACTACAAAAAATAGTAATTCAAACCGCTGTATATATATTTGTATATTTCCTTCAAAATTACATTCCTTATCTGATTACCAATATTGAAATTTTTTATGTTATTTTGATTATTCTCAAAGTTAATCTTATAAATGTTATTGGTATTCTAACACATTTTAACTTGGAACGCAAGCATATATATGGTTGATAAGATTTACAGAAAAAGAAAGAAGTGCAAGACAAGGGAAGTTTGGTAGTCTCTGTATAGATTGTGGAGCACTACCGCCTTAACAGATTGAAGCCAATTAATAAGGTTGTGGTTAGTTAGCGTGGTACTTTCAATAGCGTTATTGAAAGTTGAGAAATAGTTAGTTCACTTGTTGATGACGCAGGTTTGGGGTGACAATTTACTTTTTTTAACACGTGATTATTTAGGGACTTCACTTGTGACACGACTGTTCTTGATACAACCACCACGAGAAAGCAAAGCAAAGCATTTCGAAGTAAAGCATTTCTTTTATAAACATACTCGATATTGGAATGTAAATGGTAATGTCAGGGAATTAGGGCCGACATTTCGGGTTTTCAGCCAATACAGGTTAGTCTTTTCATCGTGGTGGCTGTGGTTAGAACTCAAAATTATACGAGTAGAATGAATGTATTTATTACTTTCATATGATGTGGAGTTGCGTTATCAAACTGTGAGTTGTGACCTAAAGGTGACAGAAATGTTGGATAGGCCTCGATCCATTTCAAGAAGGAAACTATATCCAAATGTATACGGTACTTTCAATTAGTATTTGCGGTATTTGGGATGTTTCAATGGCGTTTATGGCTGCATTATATTTTTATGTGTGTTAAGAGCATCGTAGTGTTGAGTTTTAATAGCAGGTAATCAGGCTACAAAATAATAGATTCTGTTGTTGATATACGTGCGTAGGATTTTTTTAAATTATTGTATTCGCTAGACAAAAACTATCTCTAATCCAAATAAGCTAAAAGTTAAGTACATTTAAATCAGATGTATTACGATAATGTCTTGATATTTATTTGTTAGTAGTGCTGTCTTTTTGTAATTTGACATTTTGAGATTACTTTGTTTAAGTTGCGAATATAGATAAATCACTGTATATTAATCTTTCACAATCAAACAAAAAAAATATGTATATTTTTTATATTTCGTTTTATAAATGTCTTCTCAATTATTCTTTTCTTTAATTGTAAGACTCACTTATATTTTATTTTCTGTTTATACGTGACATTGTATTATTTTCTGAATATGAACTTAATATATAAATTAATATTTAGTTTGGTTGATACTTGCTTAAAACTTTTCATATGATACTTATCCTAAAACGTTTTGTGTTGTCGAAATCATTTGCACCCTTTGTGTTTTACTTTAAATTCTTTAAAAAAAAAAAACTTTTAATTCTTTCAATTTATCAATGCCGGTGGTTTCTATTCAGTTCATGTTCTATTCAGTTCATGTTTGTTTTGCATACAATCCTCACCAGACCAGAGGATGGCATGCAATGTCAATGTAACTTGAGTTTAATTATTTGTAACAATTTCCATATTTTTCAGATAACTTTAGTGCTATTTGTTTCTTCTTGTACCATGTGTATGTGCGATGGTGTTGGGAAATGAATTAATAGATAGAGTTTTATTGCAAATGTCTATGACAGAAATTTATTGTAAATTTTCTGTCTTTACACCCACCAAACTCACGGAGGACCAGTTTTTGAAATCTGATGACGGAATTGACACAGGTTTCAATACCGGTTGTACCAGTTAAAGTACCTCGACATCCAATCCAATCCAAACTGATCATCCATCACAATTTCTGACAGCATTCCATCTACCAGTCACAGTAGAATGTGCACAGCGCGCCAACACTTAATAGTGCCAGTTTTAGCAATAAGAGCTAGTTGAAATCGCGTAAAAAATAGATAGCATGACTAGGAAAAATCGTTACCAGCGAGCAGTTTTTATGCTCAAAGGATCGAGAGAAATAAAAAAGAAATCTCCATGTGTGCAATGAAACCGGCACTGCTAAGTACCGCGTCATTGTTTATGAGTATCTTTACAAAGAGGATCTGCACCAATCTGATAATCGCCAATCCAAGAACGTCGGAGATGGTGGAAAGTGTAACAGATCCCAGGAAGAACCTGACATGGCTGTGAAACATTATAAAGATGAAACGGGGGAAACGGTCTCTTTAGTGAAATGGCGAAGGATTAGTGAAGTGGAGCTTTGATCGATGAACGCAACTCCAACTGCATGCTGCTGATGGAGAGGTGGGCGTTGATTGAAACCAAACTGTCCGAAATGGTTACAGCCGAGTTTATAACCAATACGTGGTCTGTTCCCTGGTTAGACTGCGCAGATTTGGTCCGAGGTCACCGGGTGATCACATGCTACGACGAGTACTGAAGGAAATTCCTCAGCAAGCCAATCACTAAGATTAGTGATTACTGGGACGGTTTAAAGCTTAAACTTCTTCCGACTGCGAATTTTGGTAGAACATTGCTGGGCGACATCATCATAGACAAAAAAAACCCTGTTGATGAGCTAATCGCCAAGGTCGTGAAAAAAAATCTGAAGCACTCGAAATGTGTTGCGGTTAATCAGGTAGTTTTACTCAGAGAAGAAGACATCGACTTTGCCATCTTTCAAGAGCCATGGGTTTATAGCTCATATGTCGAAGAGCTCAACATAATCGGATAATATCTCTTCTACGTAAACAGATAAGGTAAGCTTAGATCGTGTATTTTTAGCAAAAACATATTCTAATACTTTTTTGTTCTCATTTACGCTCTCTAGATATCACCACCATCAAAGTAGAGCGGTAGCAGAAGTTTGCGATTTTAAAAGTATCCACCTATACACCACACGAAGACAAGCCCCCTCCAGAGGGAGTTAAATTGTTATACAATTATGCACATACCGAGCAGCTAAGTTTGCTGGTAAGCTGGAATACCAATGCCCTGCACTCCTTGTGGGGAATCTCGGAAACTAATGAACGAGGTGACTCCTTTTTGAATACATAAAAGGTTCGAACCTTAAGGTTTGTAATAAAGCTTATACTCCCACCATCGTTTTTCAGGGATGATCATGACCAGGTTGGGAAAAAGTTTTAGATATTACTCTTTGCTTGATTTGCCGTTCACTACCGATCAATGACTGGAGAGTGTCAGCTATTAACTCTCTCTCTCTCTCTGAGCATTACTTCGTGATGGATATTTTCATATCCTTAGCCTTAGCGCAGTCCTAAGAAGGCAAACTGAGATGCATTTAATAGGCTGTTTAATAACAAAATTGATTCCAATAACCTCGATTAAAGAATTAGAGAGTAGCGTCAACTCATTTACCCTAAACATCCAATCTGTCTTTAAAGCATCGTACCCATGCTCATTATCGTGCGAAGAAATGTCAGCACCGTGGTAGAACAAAGGGCTTTCTATGCTGCGTAAAAACGCGCGACAAGCATTCAATTAAAGCTATCGCATCAAAGTGTGGTCTCCATACAAGGATAGTGTAAGGGCATAAAAAACGCGCTTCAAGAATCCAAGAAAGTGTACTGGAATTTTGTTTGCCAGAAAATTGAAATCATTAAGCATTAAGAATTAAATAAATTAACTAAACTGTTAGCAATACGTCTATGTTGCCTCTCCCTCAATATAAAGCATATGTTAGTTACTTAATAGGCAGAAATATAGACAGATTATTTGTTTAAATGGGCATCCTTCTTTTTCTAAAAAGATAAAGAAAAACCATAAAGCCTGTGTCCATCTCAATCGTATTCTCTTTGTCCTCCTCTATTTCTCTTTCCTCCTCTTTGCTCCTATTACCTCTATCTACCTCAGTCTCCCAATAAACTTATTTCTCTAAAGAAGACTAATGAGGATTTCAGCTTACACATAAACTTTAAATATAGTAAGGTAGATTTAAAACTGGTGAAACTTGATTATATTACAAAATATCGTAAATAAAGTGACTTGACTTATTATAATGAAGATTCATTATAATTTTGATTAACATTTTAAGGTAAACATATTTTTTTAAATGTTATTTACAATAAACATGGTTAAGTTATAATTTTTCTTTTTTCAGAAACGTCAATACGAAATTATGGATGAAAAAAGTAAAGTCATGTTTTCAGTATAAAAGAGGGGAGAAAAGAGGGATTAGAAGCAGAACTCTCTACCTACAAAAAAATAATGATAACATTACCTGCTTCGATTTAATCAAAACCAGTGATAAAGTGATGTTCCTATCGGTAATTATTGTCTTTTGTTGATTCTTGGCATTGATGAATTTTAACTTCATGAATGGTGTATCAGACAATTGATTACCGATGTTGCTATACATCTATACTTTTAGGTAAATATTTGATCAATCAATACATTTCAATATATTAATATGAATATCAAATAGTGATGAATTGTTTTAGAACGGATATCTGAGAAACTTTTGATATTTTTTGTGAATCGTATTTGGTTAGAGAGTTAATTCTAATTAAATAAAAAGTTCCTAGAAATATCACTTTTCTTTGATTAAAATTATGCATACATACAATGCTGATTTAATTTTAGTTGAATATATTTTTTTGTTTTAAATTACATTTGTTAAAAAGTATTTTTTTTTTGTTTGCAGATGTAATACGATGCTACATAAAATCATAAACGTCTTTTTTATTGCCAAGTTATAGTGGGAGAATAGGATGTAAATAATCAAATAAAGTATAATTAAAAAAGATTTATTTGCATTATCTGTGCTATGGCGATTATGACTTACATAATTATTATATTATATCGTTAGTTGATAAGTTTATATTATTATTTTTATTTAAGACTTACTGACTTTGCGAACGTTATACTGACTGAAGGCAAATAGAATGTTTTGATAGTGAGAATGTGTTTAATCACTAATCCGGTGCTTTTTAGTAATAATACAAAATAATTGATGAACCTGTGGCGGCCTTATAATATTCCTGCGTAGCATACGAACGTTGTTATGATAAATAAAAACATAGTATACTAACGTTATTATGACAAGTAAAAATGTGAGTTGTAAAAAAGCAATTGTAAATAGACATTGTAAAAATTGTGTAGATTAGTGTTTATTATTAATAAATCTGTAAAGCTAAAATTCAAATCAAAAGCGTTTCAATAAACCACGTCTCCACAAACCAATTGCTATGTACAAAACAAACACGAATATTTCTGATAGATCCAATTCATTTTAACATTCGTATGGGGAAAATTAATACTTCTAGTTTTGTTTGATGACTGTGTTTAGAAAATAAAAAGATGTTAATATTTAGCATATCCTTATTTTAGTAATGACAAGATCAACATCAACATTTTTTGGAACCAATAAAACTATTTAACTTCGCGAAAGTTGGCTCCATAAAGCCGCCTGCTCCTTAACCAAAAAAAATAGCAAATCGCAATCGCATTTATAAAATTGAAACAACGTATACTTCTTAATTTTACTATTCCCACCTTCAATTTCATACAATGAATAAATTTCAAACAAAATATTTTGTTTAATCAAAAGTTAGCACGAGTGAGACAACAAGACGCGCATGCTATGTAACCGCAGACAAACTTTTCATATAAATAACTATATAGGTAAAGAAACAAACAATATAAAATAATAAGTAAATTCTAGCTTGTAATTGCTCAGGTTGATGTCCTCATCCTAAAAAACAAAAATCTTTTTTGTAGAAAATGTTAAAATCAAAAAAAAAAAATTAATGTAAAAATCACTATAATTATAAATAAATTCTTATTGTTTTCAAATTTATTCATTTTCTTGCTATTAATATATAATCTTAAAATCTTAATAAAATTAATCTACAAGAAATTATATCACACATATAATTTTATATATATATATCAATTTTTTTATTTCGTGAAAAATAAGAAATTGATATAAAATAATATATGGACATATTAAATGCAATTAATAAATAATCTAAAAAAATTAACATATTTTGAACTATTCAAAATATATTATTTAAGCAACACAAAGGAATTAAAATAATTGAAAATAAACATTTCCTTGTGTTCACAAACTCCAAAAATAAAAACTACTATTTCAATTATATTTGTGTAACTATATATAAAAAATAAATAATTAAAACAATGAATTCTGAACTTAATAGTATAAATAAAAAATGTTTTTGCTTAAAGATAAAAGAAAATACTCCAATTAATGCTATCGAACAACAAATTAATATTAAGTTATAATAATTTAACATACATTTAATACATTGGTCTTGTTAATTAAAAATAAAAATAATCTTGAAACTGACAAGATGAAATAAAAAATCTTTATTATAAATTCCTAAAATTTGTTTTTTATTTCTTGAAATCTTACATGCGTTATTTTTATCATTAATACTTATCTTTTAGTATGTATAAGTATTAAATTTTTTTTTTTTCCAAATTATCTATTATAAAAAGGATTGCTATATTCTGGCAGGAACAATTTCGAAAAGATTTTGATTGGCATATATTTTAATTTTAATTTAATTTTTTTTTTTTTAGATATACTAGTCTTATTAATTTATATAAAAGCAATTGCTCCAAATGAAATATTTGATTTTTATTTTTTGTATATTTCTAAATAATTACATACACTCAGATTTATTTATTAATAATAATGAGTGAATACTTTTAACAGTTCTAACTCATTTCTCTTATTCATATATTTTAACTAAACTTTATACTTATCCAACTAATTTTATAATAATTTTGTAAATAAAAATAAAAATTACTAATGTATATATGTTTTGACCATGTTCGACTTATAAAAAAAAATAAAAACGAATTAAACATCCATTATTTTAATGATTATTTTATTTCTGTTAATTCTTGAGTAACGTTTCTATTCATTGATTAATTTTTTTCGTTATGAAACATTTTATTAAATTTACAATAAAAATTAAAAACCTTGGAGCAAAATGGGAAAAAGGAAAAAATGGATCTACATTAACATTTATTCATTTATTTACAAAAATTCTTCCAAGTAATTTTATAGAACTATTTCCATATATTTTTATTAGAGATAATCATTTAACACTATCATCATTATCAATATCTTTATGAATTTTATTATGAATTAAGTTTTAAATATATTTTGAATAATCTAACTCCAAATTATCTTCACTTGGTGGGTGTGGCATTGTATCCCATTCAAGATGTAAAAGCTATTGGCGAGTGACCAAACATGTGTGAGGTCTCGCGTTGTCTCTGTGGAACACCACACCTATCCCGTTGATTAGTTCTGGCCTTTTCTGTTGAAAAGCTTACCTTTTTTCCGGTAAAAGCTCAAAAAAACAACGATTCCTTTAAAATTCTACCAAACAGACAGAATCACCTCTTTTTGGTGAATATCGGCTGTGAAAATGGTTTGTGGCGGTTCATCTTTTTTGCTCCATGACCTCTTGCGTTTAACGTTGTTGTATACAACAAGTGGTCAAGTTCTATGTGGCTTCAACAGCATTTTTACCCTTTCTGTAGTAAAACAGTATGATATTTCGAAAATGCTGCCTATCGCTATCCATTTTTAAAAGGGCGCCAACCAAAAACTACTGCGTATAATTAATTGGAATTTTTCACACACAGGCTTTGCTATATGAGCTCTCAAAGCATATAAAAATTATACGGCTTAAGTGTGAAGTTGGGTACAAAAAAATACAATTACATCCTCTGTCGGGAAAAAACGAAATTTCTTTCCGAACAACCTAATATATATTGTGATATATAGTATTGAAAAAAAATATTTTTATATACGAGTGTCTGTATTTTATAAATGTATATTTTTTCTGCAATAAATAAAACACAAATTCAAATTCAGTAAATAACCTTGTCATATTTATTTGCCATATAATTAATATATTTTACAAATTTTAAACAAATTTTATATCGTTAAAATTATTCCGCTTAAATTAATAACCTTTTATATAAAAAAGTAAAAAACAACACTTAAAAAATAAAATTTAAACTAGGAAAATAAATTCGTTAGTTGTATAGAATTGACTGACATTATATTATTAAGCAAATAATATTGAAAAGTTAAAATAAATGTCAATTCAGTAAATCACGATTTTCATTTCTTATTAAAAATAAAAATACTTTATAGTTATATTAATAAAAGATCAGTTTAAATTCGAAAAGTTACTAAAGTACACAATAAATAATAATTCGTCTCTTGTAATATTAAATAATATATATTATCATTAGGAATACATGTTGATATTATTATATGAGTTCAATTTTTTATAACTTCACAGTTACGCTTTTAAAAATTTCAAAGAAGTTTTAATATTATAAAATACAATATTTAACAAAATTCAATAATTTAAAAACATTTATTTAACACACATATTGTATGTAAGGATGCCTTAATATTTACAAACTTATGACTATTATGTGATATATATATAATATACTTATTCCAATTATGCTATTAATAATGCTATTATTATAATGTAACTTATTTCCTATTTCCTATTTTTTGTTTTATTTTTATTAATATTTATAATATTTATATTTTTAAAATATGGCCTAGTATTTTTTAGTGTATTTTAACACATTATTTAGTTAGGTATATCGGTACCAAGGTCCGAAAAAAAATTTCTATGTGTTTTATGCTATAATCTCTTTACTATTAACACATTTCTATATTTGCTATTTAAAATTTCAAACCTATTTAAAACATACAATTATTTAGAAATATTTTGATTAAAAATTATAAAAGTACCTAAATATAAGTAAGATGCTTTGAATCCGACATAACAACCTATATATATAAATGAATATTATACATATATAATGTACATATTATAAAATAATACCTTTATACTTTTAGTATGCTATATTGCTGAAGGAGTATAATTAGACAATATATACATTAAATTTGGAACGGAGTTGATTTAGTAAATTGTCCTTTTTAACCCAAAACGTACTGCGGACCTGAAAAATGTTCAATATGTTTTACAAGGGTCAGTAAACTACACAATATATTTTATAAGAACAAACAAAATATTTAATGCATTTTGTAAGGATCGGCAGAATATGCAATATATTTTATAAAGATATATATATTATATAAGATAATCAATGTGTTTTACAAGACAGGTAGTTGGAGTTACAAATCCATTCTTTTACAGACTGGTGCCAATCGTATAGTCCGCGATTTAAAAACCCTACTCTAATGAATTATTTTATTATTGCAATTAAATATAACATACTAAATTTATTTAAAAAACTGCATTGAAAGGTAATAGGAACATTTTAAAATTTTATAGGTATAGCATGTTTATTGTTCTTAAAGAAACACACGTTTCTGCTAACACAACTATATATTCATATATGTTTATATATATAATTATATATTATAATTATAATAATTTTATTTCTAATTTTGAACTACTCTGGGTGTAGCTAAGATGGTCATATCAGAGTTTACAGTTTTTCCTATCCCGATACTAATAGCATTCGATTTTTGAAAAAGCGTTGTAAGTTCGGTTTTAATACAATTATAATATAATTATATTTTTATATCAAAACTTTTACATAATTTATTATTAATTTATTATATAACTAAGTTTAGTTAGTTTACAATTTTCTCAGAATGTTTTGAAATTTTCCTATTTTCAAAGAAAAACATTTTTTCACAAATAGAGTGAAAAGCTTTTGTGAAAAGATGAGTTTGTCAAAATATTTGTAGCTCACTTAAGGTCAAAGCCGGACACTATATAACTCTGACACATTCCTGACCAGCATAATTAAATGCTTTAACTTAGAGTTAGTTGTCTATCCATTATTTTATTAATATACAATTTGGACTCTCAGTTTTTCTTAGAGAAACATTCTTAGAGAATTTTTAAAATTTTCGTCTGTTCAAGGCAATCAGTGAACGAAAGTGGTTGATCATAATAGCGTTTATCAATTATCTCGATGGTTGTATTGTAATATTATTCTTTAGAACAATGTAGATACTGACCTTTGCTAAAAACATAAAAACAAAATAATTTTTCGTCTCGCAGTATATAACAGTTGGAGAAACACTGAATGATATTATGCTAAGGGGCGTATACAGAGATCCATTTAAATGGGGCTTTCGAAAACTAAAAGATCATATGAAAACATTAAATTCAAAAATCTATTATATATAATGTGAAATAATCCGAAATATTTTTAATTTGATATATTGTATACACCACAGATCATATTTTGTCCATACATTAAAAAATAAGTTTATATTTTTAAATACTTAGGTGCATCGGATTTTTTAAAAGTAAATAACTATAAATTTGAAGTTTATTAAAGTTGTAATAAACTCCTCTTCCTCTTTTATTACATATTTTAAAAAATTTTTTTTACTTATATTTTTCAATTGTGTTATATGTTTTATATACATTATTTTTTTTTTTGTATCATTTTATCATTTGTTAAAATAAAAAATATGCTTTTATAATTTCGATAAATGTGTATTGTATATTATACCGATTTTAAATATATATTTATAACGAATTATTTTTTATAATTTTTCTCATTATATATATTTTTTCAAATCAAATATTTAGAAATATTTTTTTTAAAGTTTATGTTTTTTACAATGTTACACAATATATATAAAGTTTTTTAAGTATTAATATTAATTTAATATTTAAATATTAAATTAATTTTTTAAATATTAAATATTAATATAATATATTGATATAATTTTTATTATATTGTTTTATAATAATTTCTTTTTAATTACTAATTTTCATTGTACATAATTTTTTATTTTATTATGTATATTTTTTTATTAAATTTTATTTCATTTTATTTTTTTATTAAATTATAACTATTACTGTATTACTACTATTTTGTTATTATTATTTTAATATCATTATGTTATTATTATTATTTTAATATTAGTATTATTTTATTATTTTTATTACTATCTTATAATTATTATCAATATTTTTATATATTTTTAGCATCTTATCGAAGCGATTAACAAATTTAAAATTACTGATTAGCATATATGAAAATTATTTTTTTAACTATACATTAGCATAAGTATAATTTAAATGTAATTTCTTAAAATATTTTATACAATATATTTAATTATTTTGAAAATAATTTTGACAAAAATAAACACAACAAAAAGAAACATTATATATATATCTAACTTTGCAGATTTTATTATAACTATGTTTTTTCTAACAAATACCAATTTTATTAATAAAGTCCGTTACACTGGCTTTATTTTATATAAAAATGAGCTCAAATGTAATTAGTAATTAGTAAATGTAAGTTTATTTAAAGTATCTTATTATAGAAGTACAACACAATTCTAAAATTTTATGAGAGCAACTGCTAAACCTTTACTAAAATTGAAATTTGTTTTATTGAAAAATAATTGTAAATAAACAAAAACTATATTTTTAATTAATTAAATATTTAAGAAACTATTTTGACAATTTGTAAGTTTTAATTTTATTTTATATATAATGCATAGTTGTAGAGTCAGGTTTATTAATAATATAGTAGTAAAGTTACTCAAGGAACGATTTTCAAAATTTTAATATTAGATAGCAAATGTATTTTCTTATAATAATTTTTGTGAGTTATATAGATTTATGTATATAAACTTCATATAAAATTTATAGTTTTAAGTGGAAAAAAGTATTATTGAAATTAAAATAGTCATTTTAATCACATATAACATCAACAATTATTATAACAAAAGGTTATTTAAAATTATGCTAATTTTTGTCTTAATAACCTAAATTATATTAATAATTTTTTTATATATTAGAAATAAGAACTCTAAGCTTTAATAAAAGCTATATATTATTGTTTAAATAATATATACACTGATACAAGTATTTGTTTCTACGAAGCTTATGACAATTTAATTTTAATTTTTTATTTTTAATTTTACTTTTTTTCTAATTTGTTGTGAAAATTTTTATATATTCAAATTTAATTATATATAATTATTATTTTTACATTTGAAATAATATTTAAATTTATTCTTTTTTATATGTGTTTTTTATATATGTTTATGTTATATATGTTATTTCAATTCATATAAGATATAAGTTTAAGTCTAATATTAATTTTATTAAAAATTTATATACGTTTTAATTTTTTTTTTATTAAACCGTAGGCATATATAATTTTAAATGAATTTCCAAATTTGTATAACTCCATTAGAATTATTAACAATTATATTTTTCAAATATAGTCTAAAATGTTTTCTGTATTTATTTTATTATGCATAGAGATCGGAGTTAAAAAATTTTCTAAACTATTATATTTAATATTTTTGTATACATATTTCATATATGGTATATACGAAAACTGAATTTTTGCCTATATTTATTTTATTTGACTAATTTCATTCTTTTGTTTTAAGTAAATATTTTATTCATATAATAATTTTGCAATAGTTGATATATACATATAAAAACAATACCAAAAAAAAAATTATACATCCTTTTAGTAATCAAAGTCAAATTCCACAACCTAAAAATTTTATTTTTAATAATTTGTTGAAATCGAAGTAGTAGATCATCATCAAAAGTCTCCAGTCTGAAATATGGATATGGAAAAATTTCCTCTAATAATTACTAAAATGATAAAGATAAATTTATTATTTATTTTGATGAAATATTTTATTTGAATTAAAAATATAATTAAATAATTTATAAATTGAATTATACATAGTATAATACTCGTAAAGTAATGTATAGTAATGATATATCAAATATGAGTAAGTTATAGATCCTTTACATATTGTATGGAAAAACTGTATTTGGTTTGGAATGATGATTGTAATGCAGTGAAAACTTAAAAATAACTATAAAATAACGAATCGATTTAATAAAATCGATACAGTCAGGTTAGATTGATTGTATCTATATCTAATTATATACTTGAACGATAACTAGTTTCAGTTTTTTGTCTGTATGGATACTCGTTGACCAGACTTTTAAATAACTTCCAAGAATTTATTATTATCTCTGCTTGATCTTATTCAAAAACTCTTTTTCGAATAAAAAATGTATGTTAATAATAATAAAATTTTTAACTGATTTTTAATTTTATTTTTCTTTACAATTTCTTAATAATTTTTATTCTTTCAGTTTATTTTCAAGTGGAATGACTGTAAGTGCCAGAATTGGAACTGAACACTACTATGACAACAATTGAACTTAAATGATATTTCTTTATTTGGTAAATATTATTTTAATTTTAAAATTTTTATTTTTTTTATTTTAAAAATGTGTTTTTTTATAAATTTCTTAATATCATACTATGGAGTAATAAGTATATGGTATTAAAAAGTCATATGGTGGATTTCACCATATGACTTTTTGAACCGTCAGCACCACTATTGCTAACTGAAAGATCACGGCTTAAATCCTTTAATCCCCTTATCCCCTAACTAAACATGTTCCTTAAGAGTGTTTTTTCAATCTTTAATCTTAGTCAATCTTGAGCTTAAGAATATTCTGTACATTCTTATTCGATAAAGTGATTAAGACATACATCGCTGATCCGACCAAGTAAATTTTCTGCAATACTATTTTATGCAGAATATTTCGTTTTACCTCAGAGAGCAGCCGTCAAAATTTAGAAACCTAATTGGTTATCACTGATTGAATTTAATTCGCTTCATTGTTCTATTATGAGTCTTACTTTGCTTATATGGTCGATGCAAGATCAATTGTAAATGAAAATCAATGATTTAAAATGATTAAAATAATATCATTTTCCTAACTGCACAGGTGTATATAGTATATAATATAGTATATTTTCAAATTGTGTTTTTGATATTGGTGTATTCAAACCTTTTTAAGCGTCAATAGATACTACATTCAAGTTTCATATGTTTTCTGAAAGATCATACAAAATTTATGCAAAAGTATTCGAGTCTGCCGTAGAAATTTTTGCAAACATTGTGTATGTACTGACAGTCTTATACAGTACAATTCATTTCTGGGTTAAATCTTATTATTTTTATTTCTTAGTAGTCATACGTATTATATAAGAAGATTTTCGTCTTTATAAATATTCAGTTCCTATAACCCCTCATTTGGGCATAGCTAGGTACGCTAACATTCCGTTGCATCCGGTTTGAACGATGTTCTTATTTTTTAATGACCGATTAAAACAGTTTAGTTTTTATTTCATATATCTAGTATGGGAGTTATATAGTAATAAAAAGGATCTAAAATTTTGTAGATTAAAGGATCAGTTTATCAGATATAGTTTATTTTAACAAAATTAACTATTTTGTTAAACTACTTCCTAATACTACTTCCTAAAAACTACTTCCTAATAAATATATATTTATAATTTTGAGTATTTAACTCAGTATAAACTCAGAAAATTTGTAAACATGCTCATTAACAATTTATTTACATATTAATAAAATTTTTAATATTATTTTTTTAAAAGAAAAATAAAAAAAAAATTATTAAAAATATGAATTTAAAAGGATTAAACAAGTTTTAAGCTGAAAACTTATACAAAATTTTACATCCTTGCCAGCTGAACAACGTCATTGCAATAAAAGATTGCAACCTCTACTTGATATGAATTTCTCGAAACCCCTTGCCACAGTTAGTAAACATAACGATAATTATGTTGCATTATTATAGATAATAATGATGAACATAAAAACTTTAACAATGATGTCGGTTATCATAATTATGAGCTTTGATTATTATTCCCCATAGTTACCAAAATAGACCATTAAAAGTGAAGTGAAAATAAATAAGCGCAAAAGTACAAAATTTTATGAGATATAATAAAGCTAAAAAGAAAAGAAAAAACAAGAGGATATATAACATAAAATCAGCAAAGTATAACTAACTGTAGAGCGAATATGGGTACGTTAGTTATGTTAAAAAGTAATTAAAATCTTACCAAGGGATCGGTTTATTATTACTGCGCATACAAAGTTCCAAAGCCGCGTGAAGATCATTAAAAATTTGCTGTTGCAGATTAAAAAATCATTAAAAACATTAAAAGCAGATTTAGTAGCTATCTCAGCTACCCCATCGCCTTGAGTAGCTTGTTAAGTGCCTTTCCTTATTGGGAACTTTGGAAGCAGTGATACTTTTGAACTTGGCAATCATAAACTATTGCGGCCGAATTTCAAAGTAATTTTATGTTCGTCTACTTTTTTTCTTAAATCGAATTAATGACTTTTAACGATCAGTTTTTAGAGATCATGGAATGATATATATAATAAAAGGGAATTCAATTTTCATTATTAGTTATTAATTTTTTTAATTTAAAGAACTTTTCTGTGGCAAATTAGATACAAAATGTGGTTTTAATAAAATTAAATATACAAATATAATTATTTTTTTGTTTGAAGTTTGTTTAGAACAACAATCAAATACATAAGTCTTAACCCTGTGAAGTCAAAAGAAAATCATTTTAATTAAACTAAACTAATATTTGTAGATAAATAAATAATTTTTTCCTCAATTTGTTCCTAATATTTTTTTTTTTTTTTTTTTTAATTGGCTAAGGACGCCCGACATTTCGTTACCATGTCGGGCGTTATTCTTGAATAGCCGGGTTTATATAGTTTTTTTTGAGTCGCTGTGTACCAGCGCTTTGGGTTAGGTTGCTTGCAAGTGGATTTTGATGGTTCCTGAGTTTGATTTTGTACTTTTGTGTGTTGCTGCTAATTACATCTGTGACTGTGTCAATTCGAAGATCTCTATGAATATTTGCGTTTTTTATATACCAGGGGGCACCGACTATTTGCCGGAGGATTTTTGATTGAGTTCTTTGAAGTTTTTCAATGTTTGATGGAGAAGCAGAGCTCCAGAGTTCAATTCCGTAGGTCCATATGGGTTTCATCATTGTGTTGTAAAGTTGCACTTTATGGGTCAGATTAAGTTTAGAATTTTTATTTATCAGCCAGTTTAGTTCTTGTTGTTTGAGTTTAATTTGGATTACTTTGGTTTCTATATGCTTTTTCCACGTAAGCCTTCGGTCGAGGTGCATTCCTAAGTATTTTGTGTTATTGCATTGTGGTATTACTTTTACATTAATACGAAGGGCAGGGCAGGTATCTCGTCGTAGAGTGAAGGTTATGTGTACACTTTTCGATTCGTTAACTTTTATTCTCCAGAGATCGAGCCATTTTTGCAGTTTGTTGAGGTGGTTTTGAACTGATTTTGTGGCTGTGAATGGGTCGTCACTATGGCTGAGAATGGCAGTGTCATCCGCAAATGTTGATGGCGTTGTACAGTCACTGGTTGGCATGTCTGCTGTGAAAATCAGGTACAGCAAAGGGCCCAGAACACTACCTTGGGGTACACCGGCCATAATGGGGAAGGCATTGGAGACAAAAGAATTTTGTTTTATAACAAATCTTCTATTTGAGAGGTAGTTTTTGATAACTGAGGATATATTGTATGGTAAATGTTTCTCAAGTTTCCAAAACAATCCCTGTTCCTAATATGAATTTATAAATTAAAACTATTGTTGTAATGTTATGCACTATTATAACACTCTGTATAACATTATCTAGCGTTAACTGCGCCAATTAATTTACTAATTCAGACAACTCAGGTTCATATACAGCTATATATGAAGGACTAATGAAAATATAGTAAAAATAATGTTAAACGATGTTTAACGCTTTCCCCTTAGTTGGAGAAGTTCTCTAAAATCAATTTTTGTTTAACATTAGAATCTCGGGATAACAAAAGACATTTTGTTAAGGTTTTTCGTAATTCCGAATGCATTTTTTATACAGCATTTTTTATTAGGAGAGAATATTTTTATTATGATTGAAGATTGATCGTTTTATTGTAATAGGTGTAGTAAAAAAAAATTTATAATTTTCGCATGAAATTTAGGACCTTTTTACCATAGTTAGTATAATCCGATTTAGGTCGAATATGCGCCGGTTTGTTCGATAACTTGTTGCCATTTTGAAGGTAATTTCATTATGCCACTCACATATAACTCTTCGTTCCTATTAATAAAAAATTGAGACAGCCGATCAATAAAAGCTTCTCAAAGCGAATAATTTACCAGAAAAATCATTCGCAATGAGTAGGTACAGATGGTAATCAGTTGGTGCCAGGTCTGGACTATAAAATGGCTGCATAAGAACTTCCTAACCAAACTTCCGGAGCTTTTGGCGAGTTATCAATGTCGATATCGATGTGTGTGGCCAGATCTTGTTCTGATGGAACACAATTTCTCTCCTATAGGCTAAAGCTGGCTATTTTTGTGCGATTGGTGATTGCTTCCTTCAGATGACCCAATTCTTGACAGTACACTTCAATTCCGTGTTAAGAATTTTACCGTAGGGGAGCAGCTCATGATTTCCTTCTAATCCCATCAAACACACACGTAAACCTTCCTGACCGTCAATCCTAGTCTGGCCACCGTTCTCATCTTACTAACTCCATTTAGCGTAACCCGAAATGACTTATACAACGCACGATACAAATAATTAAAGTCATATATTGGGAAAATAATAGATTTCTTTTTATACCTAATATATTCGTTAAGCCTGTATTTAGAAAACCTTAATCCGTTTCAAAAGGAGGCTTCTTCTAAACGAATAAACGTTGACTATGATTAA